CCTCGCAGAAAAAGCACAGCAAGGAAGAAGGAGGGCCGCTCCCCGCTCCCTCCTCCCCGGCCCTCGGCCAAAGAAGGGGGGGGGGGGGGAGGAGGAGGAGGAGCCTGCCTTAAGGGGATACTACAGCTCGATCGGCTTTGTTCGCCCCATCGCCGAAAGGTACCTCAGAGGGACGGCTCACGGCGGCGAACGTCACTACTTAAATGCTGGAGCGTCTGGCTGTCTCCTCAACTTGCCTGGCGTGAAACGTTTCGCTGGAAGTCGACCGCTCCGAGCAACAGGCAACCGCCGCCTCCCCCAACCCGTTTCCCCGCTGACGTTTCCTCCGAAACTGCGTCCAGGCGCAAGGCTGTCAGTTCTTGCTTGCCCGCGAGGCAGATGGAAGAGGATCAAAAAGATCGATTGGAAACTGTTGATAAACCACGCCTAGGCCCAGAGGTCCTTGAACCGCGCTCTCGATAGCCCGGCTCGCTCGCGGCTTAATCACGGCGGCAACGTCCCTCGAGCCCCTTTCCTCTCTGTAATACGGGGACCGGTTTCCTTCGGATCTGAATAAGGCAATGAAGATAATGGTGCAGCCGGACAGTTTCAGACTGCGTGCTTAATTAGGGTCTGGCTCCAAGAAGCGAGGGTGCGCTTTCCACGGTCACGGGCATTCCGTAACTTAGCTGAAACTGCCAGGGACGAAGCGAGCCCTGCTTAAGAGGGGGTGGTGGAGGTGAAGGTCGTTTGCATTCGGCCGTAAGGGGTCCCGGATTTCTGTCTGAAAGCTCTGAAATTTAATACAGCACTAAATTTAATATTATAAATGCCAAACGGATGAGCTGAATTGGCACTAAAATAATATTAGCCTAGCTACAGACTTTTTTCTTCAAATGGCAGATGAACCAAACCATGAACTATTTTAAAAAGTGGAAAAAGCAAAACAAGACAGTGGAAGCGCAAGTACGTACAGTTCGATTTTACACTAAAACGTCCTTTCTCCAGCATCCGCCTGCCATTCCTTTTATTTCAAACTGAATACTTTAAGCAAATATTCTAGCTGAATGACTAGAAACATTAAAATGCGAGGAAGAATTTAAAACTTTTCCCCCCCAATAGCTCCTTGACCTCTATGGAATCCAAAACGGTATCAGATGAATTCCAGGGAGACTCTGAAGTGCATCTTAAAAGCAAGCATTAAGTCTGCTTTTTGCTACTGGAGTCTTGCCATTTCTATTAGTCATGCCCATTCCACAGTTGATTCCTCCATCAAGCTGCAGCTTGGCAAAGCCTAGGCTTTGCTTTAAAGCTGCAACTCTATCACCAACTGTTTACTTGAGAGCAAATCCCACCGAACTTCTTGTTTTGAAGTAACATTCCTAAAATTTGTCTACTGGTATGAAAATGTACAGTGACCTGGTGATTAAACAGCTTTGGGGACATGTTAAAACAATTGGAAGTTTTTGTAGGAGAAGAGCCATGACAAAAAATCACAAATCTGGTAGCACCTTTTCCAACTACCAAATTGTATAAAAAGACATACGCTTTTGTGACCTGGAGCTTTAGTCAGAAAAAGTGCTACTAGATTCCTGATGTAGGAGAATGTTTCTGTAAATGCAAAAAAAAAAGGGGGGGGGGAAGGAAGGAAGGAAGGAAGGAAG